GACAGTGGTCACATGGTCACAATTAGACTATCTTTTTCTTCCACATTTTTGTTAAATTCAATTTTCACCATCTGACCTGGTGGAATTCAAACCCATGCCTCAGTGCCTTAGCCTGGTGTTCTGATCTACTTGTCCAATGACATTACCACCGTGCTGCTATCTCCCCAGTGCTGGGCATTTCTTCCACACATTTTGCAAATTAACACAATGTTCTTCTAAATTTCATCCATGTGTAAGACTGTGAGCCATTTGCACATAATACCAAGTATTTTAGCTTAATTTGATTGGTTTCCAGGAGAGCTACCAACTAGTGTTAAGTACTTTGCAGATTGTGATTAAAAAAAAGTGCACAAATTTAATCCATTAAGATGATGGCTAGCTACCAGAACATATGTGTATGCTCAGTCATCTAGGAGAGGAAACTAAATTTTATAGCTATTTATGTATAATAGTTAAAGAATATGGATATATAAACTTTCACATAATTTGAAATATAATTAAGTCTCAATACGTCACAATTCTCAAACCCCCTGAAAAATTACAGCATTTTGTATCTGTGCAAACTACAGTTTCCTTGATAATGATGTAATATATAACCAATAGCGTTTTCAGCCTCTGCGGGATATTCGAAGTCAAATGGTAAGAGAGGTGAACAAACTCCAGCACTGTCACATAAGTAAAGTACTCCAAACAAAGCTAATGTAAAACTAGTTCCTGTGGTCTGGACACTCCATCAGTGTGCTGCATAACAGGCTTTCATTACAGGTCCTCTTCTCACCATGTAAGGATGGCAACCAATCTCAAGGAGGACCGAGAAAATGGTTTAGAGACATATAAAGGCATCAGTGAAAATGGGTCAAATTGCTATCAATGCATGGAATGGTGTTGCCATGAACCATATCAGATCACAATATCCCATCCAACAAGTCGCAAGATGGTGAGAAACTGACAACATAAACTCTGCTGCAGAGAAGTGGCAAACGTGGAGGAAGAGCAGAACCCTGTCTTGAGAAAAACCCATGCTCAAGGCAACTCATGTCCTTTGTGCCCAAAGACCTTTGACTCCAGGGTTTCTCTGCTAATCTAAACAAATCATGAAGCCTATCAAATGTCAAACTTTGATTTGAGGATCTGGCAATAATTGGATCGTGGAGCACGCCATGTGGCCTCCTCCTGTTCCTCTTCCTTATGTTCTTATGACATGATGAGACTTCAGAGGATTGTAGACTTGGGGGAGATAGGACAGGATCATAGAAGAATTTGAAGATAAAAATGAGACTTTTAAAATCAGCACGAGTGGAGTCTTAAAGCGTTCTGAATGCTGTGGACTATAGCAAGATTTGTGACAGAATCAGATGGAAAGACTAGCAACACATATCTTGACGCCAGGACCATCTTTCCGCATCTTTTATGCATTTAATGAATGGCAAAGTGAAATTTTCACTAGGCATGGGCAATTGCCAATCAAAGGCGATTATTAATGCCCCAACTTGCCTCATTAGAATTCAGCTTCCAAGCATACCAAACACATTTAACAAGCTTGATCTTGATAATTGTCAACATGGAGATCAAAGTAGAAACCTGGTAAATTCAGCTCATCACTGGCTACAAAGAACCTTCATGTTGATCAGCATCAAGTGGCATCTTAGGACATGGGCTCCAGTCACCCACATACACCTCATTGACGGACCCTGGTATCTGACATTTGCCGACCCCTCATGATCATCACAATCAGCATCGCTGTGACAAAGTACAGACCTACATTGCAGGGTGCACCAGCAACTCACACTGAAAGGCTACTGCAAGGACACTGCAGTGACAGGCACCCAGCTCATAGATTGGCCAAGCTGCATCTCAGGAGTGTTCGCTTGTTTTCTTAGCACTTGCTCACTTAGACCTACCAGCAAGCATCCTTGCCTTACTGTGCCCTTTTAGTGCAGTCACGCAACCAGGCTGTCTGCTTTGCTGGTCAGCAACCCACAGTCAAAGGGGCATACATCTTACTGTGCAGCAGTATGCTACATCAATCTCACACCTGTTCCACGAGTCCCAGGAGCTTATGTGGCAAACACACTGCGTGGGCAGTAAACAAGTAGCCAGATCTCAGGGTGTAGTCCTCACCAAATTCCCTGAAAGCACTCATCAGTCAGTTGGCTGTGGTACAGTAAGTCAAGAGCAGCCTCCAATACCAGTCTAGGGGATTGGCCAGGGTCAGGCCTCAGTAGTCCAGGAGGGTAGGACTAACATGATCATGGAAATGCGCAGCCACCCAGGGGGTGTGGTCACTTCTTCTCCAGGGTTGTCTGATTAGGTCTCTCAAGAGGTGGGCTATAGTAGTCTGTTGGGCGAGTCCACCAAAACTAGGGAAAGGAGGGTTGAGAGAGGGACAAGGAGGGCTGCTGCTATAGGAAGGAGAGTCAGGAAACTGTTCTTCAGAATTGAGGACTGCAGATTGGGAGAAACGGGGGTGATAGTTGTGAAGGGGGCAACTGCATTTGTAAGCCACAGGCCAAAGAGCACTCACTGTTGCTTTCCATCATGTTGGATATCAAAAATACACAGTGGGAAAGAAAATTGCTGTGACCAATTCAGAGTGGGTGGGGTATTGTTTCAACTTCTGAGCAAGGAGCCTGCAGGACTCATCAAGAGAGGCCCTTTAAAGGTCAACAGCATTATACATAGACCTAAGCATTGTAAGGGACACAGACCCTGCTGATCTGATCTGATCTGATCTGATCTGATCTGATTTAACATCTGATTGAATCTCAGAGAATTGCCAAGGAAAGGAATTAAGTTGGTAGCTGGGGAATGGAATTTGTGGCAGGGACAAATATTTAGCACTCCCAATAATTAGCTGAAGAAAATTTCTGCTTATCTAATACTGGATATTATTTAAGCAGTGTGACATATTGGAGGTAGTGGAATGGTTGAGAAAAGTAGCAATGAAATGGAGCTGAGTACGATCAGCGTAGATGTGTAAATTGACATAGTGTGCTCAGATGGTGCTTCCCAGGTGTAGCAGGTAGGTGTGAAATGTAAGGAGATTATGGATAGATCCATGATGGGTTCTAGATTTTATGGTGTGAAAGCAGGAAGATTAGCGATTGCCAGGAATTCTTTAGCTGTGAGTGGATAAGTAAGAGTCAACCATTTCTACCAGCAGGACAACGGATGAGGAGGTGTGATCAATCATTGTCAAGGACTGTATTGGTTTAAGAGAATGAGATGGGCTAGTTTAGCTTTGTCACAGTCATATAGGATGTGATTTGTGGCTTTGGTAAGGACTATTTCAGTGTTGTTGAAAGGGTTACAATATAATTTGAAGGGTTCAATCTTGCAATTAAAGGAAAGTTGGGCATGATGTCAGGAGCACATTAAAGGATTTTGAACAGGAAGGAAAGTTAAAGGTGCAGGTGGTAATTTGCAAGGACAGGCCACCTGATGTACTTCCAGCGTTCATTAATTTTGCTGCTGATATTTTACAGCCTAAAGAATCACCTCTATGGCTTTGACTGAAATAACATACTGCGTTTTCAAGCTTCTGTCAGATTACTAATGACTATTATTGAGCTGTGGGTGTACTGTCGTCCTACAGTTCTGAAGTTTAATTATTTGCATAGTTAAAACCTTAATTTCTGCTTTTGGCTGTTTACACTTCTGGTTTCTGCTGCTGTCTTGCCAGGGCTACAGTGAAACTGCAAGGAATTCTTTTGAATTTCGGGATCATAAGTGATTTTCTTCCAAAGTTAACTACAATTCCAGCAAAGATTTGTATAGAAACAGATGTGGATAATTGTAATCCTCAAGAGATGTGTTGATTGGAGTCAGGTTAAAATTTGAAATTTCGATGTTTTGTTGAAATGTTGAAATTTCAATTCCAGTCTGCTCACTCAGAGGTATAGCAGAAACTCAATATGCAGTAAGGGAGCCAATTTTCTCCCAGGTAGGATGTGTCAACTTAATGATATATAGTTTTATCCTGGGTTCCTATGTTATTTCATGTTTCCCTAGTTGGGAAATGCCTTGGGAAATCCAAGAGGCAATGATGGCTTAGGGAAAAAGCTAAGTGCCTTTGCAGTGCTGTGCTTGAGGGCCAATAAATAGGAGCAGTGGTTCCTCAGTGGCCCATCTCCCAAACTGACTCCCTTCCCAAGGCTCAGACTATTCTCCAGAGCCAGGGATTGTACACCCCTATCCCAAGTTCACACTAACTGGAGGTTTCTTCCTCATAGCTGTGAATTGCCTTGGAGTAGCACATGCCCAACTGGAATCCAAGCTTGTAAATCAGGCAAGGATGCTGTTTCAAAGAAAAAGCTGTTTGCTTTCATAGAATGCAGGGAAAGTTGGAATCCAGGTTGTCCAACCAAAGCTGTGACCTAAACCCTCCCACTTGCAACACCCATCTCCATCAATATCAGAAGCCATATTTTTGTTTTATTTTTAAAATCAGTAGCATTCAGTGTGAGCTAAAATGTTTTTGATTTAGAGTGAATAGAATGCAGTTACACTGGGTTGTCTGGTAAATACCATCAGCATAAAATAGAACTGATGTATACTTTGATGCCAGTCTTTAGATTACAGTTTTCTGAAATGTTGTTTTAGCCAGGTTTCCACTCATTTCTTATTAATTCCTGTAGCTCTTTACATGTCTCTCTTCTCCAACCTCCTTCAAGTTTCGCATTTTTAGATTCCCATTTTCTGCCGACATCATACAATTTATAGTCAAATTTGAAACTTCCACAATCACCATAGCAACTGGAAGTAAGAGTAGAGGGTAGAGGATCAGGTTTCTGGAGGAGATTAGAGTCAATCTTCCTCCACTCTTAGCCACATGGGGATGAATATACAAGGATTCAATGCCCTATGTTTATATATTAATTAATATCACCACAGTTGTGTAAATGGTTTTCTTTCATGATATTTTCCACATGCAGCAATTATGTCCTTTTAAAATAAGACTAACACAATTTTTAAATGATTGTTTTAAAAATCTTTTCCAGGATTTTATTGTAACTGTGGTCTTCTCATTCATGTGGCTCGTGGGATCATCAGCCTGGGCGAAAGGACTCTCTGATGTCAAAGTTGCTACAGATCCTGATGAAGTGCTTTTACTCATGTCTGCATGCAAACAGCAGGGCAATAAATGCTCACCTGTCAGAGACCCTGCTATGTCAGGATTAAACACGTCTGTTGTAAGTTGAAAGCCAATATTGATAGATATTTAGATACTGCAAGCTGATTTGGTGATGTAACATGTTAATGTGCTAAGATCCTAGATTGTGGACAGGTAAGATGTGGCTTAGTGCCTGTAATCCCTCAATTTGACTTCACAAGTTCAGCTCCACAGGAGCAAGAAAGATGAAAGTAAAATAGCTAGGTGCAAATTTTGCATGACTCTTTGTGTGTTAAAATCCTGGAACTAAAACTCAAGAAATTGCATGCATCCATGGGCCAATGGAAAAAGAAAGGAATAACAATAAATTGGGAAGTGATGGTTGAGTGGGTTAAAGAGAATAAACATAAAAGGAGGTATGTTGATACAAAACATAAAAATAAAGTTGAGCATTTGCCTCTTTATTAGTAAGATTACTCCCTGAGTCTTCAGGTTGTGATCCCTGGACTTAAGCCAGAATTGCACCTGATTTTGTTCTCCATCACTAACTCTGTATTGGAGAGCACCATAATTTTCATGTGGTCTCTGGGATGCCTTAGCATGGGTCAGATGGGCACAGCATAACTTTGGGTAAATCTCTGGAACCCAAGCATTTCATGGCCATGGAAACTTTGGTTTCTGCCCATTCTTGAAAGCTGGGTCTTGGGATGTGTCCAAGCCTCCAGTCGTCATCATGATCCCCCTGCCTGTAAATACTTGAGCTGAAACTGTTTGCTGTTTTGTTTAGGACCTAGGATCTCCACCAGTTAGGCCATGTTGACATCTCATCTAGGATACTTTCCATCACTATACACAGGGGCCCACTGGAATTTAGGAACATTGTGCCAAATTTTCACCAGCAAGTTGGGTACACAGTTTGACAGTAAGGCCTTCTAGCCCTCAACCTTCCACTCACTCCTCTCCTCCATCCATGCCAACTCATGCCCCCTGTTCTTATGATGGTTCATACCCACCATGCTGAACTATGACCCACTATCCACTCTATAACTCCTCACACCCACAGTACTAACCTAAACTCCTATAGCACCTTATATCCCTATGCCAAATTAATTGAACTCATCCCTATCAGCTTTTATAGCTCCTGTACCTGCTTAGTACCAACTCCTGCCAACCCAGGAACACCCCTACCCACCATGCTTTGACCTTATATCTTCCATACCAACTCACCCAGTATCCACTGACCTACCTCAGAAATTATGTTGAGAGGAAATATTACCCCATTCTAAATATCTATTACAGACTTCACTTTATTTAAAAAAAAACTTTTAATCATGAAAGCTCATTTAAAACATCAAAATCCTTCACTTATTTAATCAGTCACAAATCAAACATTCGTTCAAGTAGTTAATACAAACAACATATATTTGTATTTGTAACACTGCATCATAGACATTAATCCATTTATAATCACTTGGAACTGTCAATCAAACTGTGAACTTACAAGTCCCTACTATGATAATGATAGATTGTGGAAGGAGTGAATCAGCATAATTTCTATTATTCTGACGCTGAGGTTTATAATATCAAACTTGTCTGAAATTGCAAGCACTTTTTCTTTCAACTTACAGCTACAGCAGTCTAATTCTTTTCAAAATGTATAGCGCAGAGGATTAAATGACTAGATAGCTTGACAGTTGCACAGAGCTTATCCACCTTTGGCATGCAATAATTTTACTGTTAACAATCCTAAAGGGGTACCGGAACTTCTCCAAGAGGGTATCTGTGTTCTCTAAAGAATTCTAAAAAGTTCAGACCTTTTTCTCAAATGTCTAAAGCTCAAAAGTCATGCTTCAGAAATGTGAGTGATGAAGATTAATTCTGAGTCAAGGCAGAAACACTTTAAATGTGCTGCTGCCTTTGCTAACTATAGGTGTGGTTGCAGACTTGCTCGCCGAGCCGGTGTGTTTGGTTGCAGACGTTTCATCACCCTGCTAGGTAACTATAGATGTGTAAATCTCTCATCTCTCAGTAAAAAGATGTTGTCTGTTTTGGGGAAAGAACATCCTGAGTTGGAGCTCTGATGTCATTTTGCCTTAGGTGCTGAATCCTTCCAACCTGGCAAAAATTTGTGTCATTAACTCCCAGTTTTACGTATTCCTGGCTCTATACCCTGGTCATAATTTGCCTGGTATGAAATGAATATAAGTTTTGCTGGTTTTCCACTGGAGTTAAAGTTACCCTTTATTCTTTTTCTCCTGTTTTAATGACAAAACTGAGTTTTGGAATATTTTCTTCAAGCAAAGATCTGTAGCTCAGGTTGTGGATGAGGTTGATGACTTGCTCGCCAAGCTGGCTTGTTTCCATTCAGACATTTCATCACCATGCTAGGTAACATCAACAGTGAGGCCTCACTGATAATGTTACCGAGCATGGTGACAAAACATCTGAACAAAAACAAGCCAGTTCAGTGAGCAAGTCAACAACCTGAGTTTTAGAAATTATTTCATGCAAGGATTCTCAACTTACAAATCTGTGGCACCAATGAAATGTCCAAAGATGTTTGGAGTAATATTTTTACATTTGTGGTAGAATTTAAGTACAATTCAACCTAGTGATTTAACCTAATTATCTCTTGCATATCAAAAATTATAAGAAAATCAATAATCAATAATTTCACAGAAACAATTTGTTTCTCAGGACCATGTATGCATGCATAACATTGTGGGTATTCTCACTACTGTACACTATTTTGTCCTAATATTTTTGATTTTAATATACGAAGAAATATTGTCCCAGATATTATCAATAAATTATTTTGACTATTCAAATTATGGGAAAGTAAGGCTTGGGACTATGGGTTTCACGAATGGTACTACAAATATTTATTTTGTAATACAGAACTTGAGCATTGCTGAAAAATATACATTTTGCCAAAGTTTTTCATCTAGCACTCAGTCATCAGTTAACTGTCAATTATCACTTAACTGGTAAATTCTCCATGGCAACACGTCCACCAATCAGAATCCACTTGTCAACCAATCATTGCTGTCTTCTCATGCAGTATAAAATACTGTTCCTGTTTCTATTTGTTTTTGTGCAAATGTACAAAACAAAAAGCTTAGATAAAATGTGTCTTTTTCAGCGATACTCGAGTTATGGTTCTTTTTCAGCGATACCCAAGTTATGGTTCTTTCTCATTGAAATAGAGATCAACAGTACTACAATGTTATCCTAGCCTTGGTCCTCTTGAAAAATGTGTTCCAATAATTCCCATATCTTGTATGGTTACACGTCAGAATGAACTTCAAGATTAAATAACCAAAATTGCTCTTTGCATTCTTGACCAAATAACAAGATAACTGGAATTTGGTGTAGGGGTGTGGTGGAACTGAAAATGAATTCAGTTGCTAATGATAATTAGGCTGAGAGCTAAAATTGTATTTGACATTTCTATTTGTTAAGTAGTATGATAAATTGTTTTAAAGGTCACATAACACCTACAGTATGTTCATATCAGGAATAATTTTCTAAAGGCATTACTGTCTTCCTGCTGACCTGCACATTTTTTTGGCTGTCTTACAAGGTCTGATTTTGTTGATGGCATAATAATAGCAATTACTCGTGGTGAAGCTGCTCAGATTTGCTTGAAATCATGAATGTACACACTGAATGTTTTTTCCCAACTAATTATTTATACTTTATACACTTCTTCTCTTTGAAACAATATTTTAGAATTGCAGTTCTAGTGATTTAAAGCTAAAAAAAAATAGATTATATAGAAAATGCATGTGTGTAGACGCTTACATTTATGGTGGTCTATTAGTTCAATCACTCACAATAAATTCCTTTGCTGCTGACTTTTTGTTTTGAAGTCCTCATCTTCTATTTCATGCGTGAAAGAAATTCTTGCTTTTGAATTAACTGGCAATGACAAATGTTAAGTATGGTCACAATACCCAAACCATCATCATCCACTTTGCAATAAAGCAGCATGAAACAAAACTTGTTAGTTAAGAGCAACTTAAACAACTTGCTTACAGTTTCACCACTTACGAGTTTTACTGCCGATCTTCTTGTGTATGATTTATGCAGTGGCAGTTGGTTTTCCACTAAGTATTGCTTATTCACATAAAGTTGTTAGTTCTAGGCCACTGTAACAGCTTTGCTTCTCAGGTCTGACTCGTTCAGTTCCATCTCCATCAGGACCATAATAATTGTTAACTTAAGATAACAAAAATAACATACATTAAATAAAATTGCACTTTTTCTCACTTCCTTAGGTCTTTGGATTTCTTAACTTTATTCTGTGGGCTGGGAATATCTGGTTTGTGTTCAAAGAGACTGGTTGGCATACTTCAAGTCAACGACACGCTCAAAGCACCATGGAGAAACAGCCAGCTCAAACTGGCTTCAACCAACCCTACAATCAGCGGGCAAGTGATCAAGAAAGCTATGGTCAAACAGCTGGATACAACCAACAAGGCTATGGACAGCAACCAGGTTATGGGCAACAAGCTTCATATGGTCAGATTGGAGGCTACAGTCAGGGTGGTTACAGCCAGAATGCTCCAACTTCTTTTACCAATCAAATGTAACCTGTTCGAGGTCTAATATCTGTGCATCTTTTGTCTGAAATCCCCATAGCTCCAAGCTTTCAGTTAGAGTAAATTCATAAGGGTATTGAGTATTTCTGTGATATTGCTAGTGAGAAATATCAGTAGGAAGTTACAGTGATTTTAATCACTTGTTAATAACAATTTTCAGGTGTTCAAATATTAGCATGGTGATGTAAGTATTGATGGTTACCATAAGTAAATATCACTTTATACATATGTCCATGCTTAGTGTCTTTTTTATGTTGTAATGAAATAGTAAAACCTGTAAAATTGTTGAAATGCACAAAACATATTTTGCTTGTGTAACATTTGTTCCTGCCATGTGTGGTAGTTTCTGTCTGATTGAGCAAATAGTATTAGAATTGAATTAATCTTTTCAGCTTTCTGGGGAGGAATTGATAAGTGGCCCATGTGTGACTACTAAATGTTGCATTGTGTGTACTGAAAAATGGCTCGTGCATGATGTTGTTACAGCTTATACACTGTTCCCTACTCTGGTGTGATGTTACTTAGTGCAATCTCACCCTTATAGTTAGTAAAGCAAAAATGTTTTTATGCTGTAGCTACAGATATTACAGTCAAATGGAATTTATATTTCTATGTTTGTTAAAAAGAAGCATTTTGTTCAAAAACCCTTGTTTGTTAAATGTAAAAGTTATTTTGTTTACTTTATATATATTATTTGTTAGTACAAATGCAGATGTGATTTATTTTCAGCATGCCAGTGTGTTTTGTAATATATCTTTGAATTCACTACAGCAGTGAAAAACTGCATTAGATCACCCTAAAATATTGAAAGGATCTTTACTATAGAAAATGTTTAACTTTTTATGAACGTAAGTACAACCTGCTTCTGCAACTTGCCACAGCTATATCTCTTTGGTACAGTAGTTATGTACCTGCCTGCAGTGTGGTCTCACTGTGTTGTCACACAAATGAAATAGTTGTTGTAGAAACATTGAATCTGTATCTGTCTATAACGGTCAATATATTATGCTCAATATCTTGACGTAAGATGTAGTTATCAAAGCACAAAGCAACTATGATTCCTTTCTGTCTTTTTGAAGTACTGTGGTGTTGTGGTAATGATTGCAAAGTTAGTGTGTGAATGTATTCAAAATAATCATTAGCATCTGTGATCAAAACCATTGGCCAATGTAATCCAGTTCGTAAACATAAAATTAGTTAAAAATTTTCAAAATACAACACACGATAGTCCATAATGTCAGCTTAGAAACAGTCAAACTGTTTTCTTGGATGATGCAATGAGCCATAACTAGCCGTCAAAATAATGCTAATGGTACTTACAGTTATTTATGCACAGCAAATTCAAGCACAGAGTAGGTGCATAGTTAATTTCCAAAATACAAAAGTAGTTGTTTAAGATGCAAAGCTCTGCCGTTAACCTCACACAAAGAGCATTGCAATGCCTGGCTCACCATTGAAGTAAATAGCGTAAACTTCTTGTATTTTGTATATTGGTATGAATTAAACAGAAGGACTTTTTGCAGCACAGTGGACTAGGAATTCTGGGCTCGAAACCTTCACTTCTAGACTTTTATGCCCACTTTCCCCAGTCTGTCGGGTTTATTCCAAATATCGGTTACTCAAGGCAATTTGAGCAATGGAATATATCCAATGTTCTTTATAAAAGTAAAGTATACTACAAAAAATATTGCAAAAATTTTACCCTTATAATGCTTTCTATCACAAGTAAACCCTTTTAAATAGACCTGTCTGAAGGTCAGACCAGGACTGGTGATCAGCCTGCTCAGTCTCAACTTCCAGCCATTTGATCAGATGAACCCCTCAGCTAGCCAATTGTGCTCTGAGGCAAATTATTTTAATATCCTTTCCGTACAAAACAGTATATTGAAACTCTTATCCAGTCTCGAGCAAAAAAAGTGTCGTCAGTTTAATTAATTAACTCATGAAGTCTTGCTTGTCTGTCCTTGGAAAGAAACTTATCTCTTGCTTTTAATGAACTCTGACCTCAACTTTAGCTTGATTTTGCTTCTGTCTACTTTTATGTCATCAAATCAACTGTCTGCTATTTACACAGCAATTCTATAACAATCACAAATACATTTGATAAATAGTCCACACTATCACATCCTCTTCATGATGTCTGTTTTGAACAAAACTTCAGTTTTCCAGAGTTACTGTGACAGTTCAGTCCATTACTGCTGAGTTACAGTACTCCAATGTAAATACACACATGCCTTCAGCAAGACACAGAAACACTTTACAACCAGTGACCATTCTAATCATTAGGTCATCACCAGTCTTTACATGTGTTCTCATTTCATTCAAATTCATTGAATTTCATTTTGGTAATGCAGCAAATTTTGGGTTAATATCTACATCAGAAACCTATGGCCAAGGGAAGTGTGTTCAAATGTGTCCAAACATGTTAGGTATCAACCTACAAATCCTCCCAACACACACCAATGGCAAACAGTAAGAGTGGAAAAGATTTCTGATCAGCCTGTACTGTCACTGTCCATGGGTGCAGACTACAGCAAACATGCAAAATTGCATGTTGCCATTGGAACTTGGACTCCCCGAGTGAACTGTAACTCAACACCACCAGCACAAACTAAACCCTCCAGAGGAAGTTAAATCTTGACCTTTCAATCTAAGTTCCGTTTTAATGCCGTGATAAGTGTTAATTGTTGCAAATCATCTTCTCTCAACACTGAAAATGATTATAAATATGGAGTTTTCTTTGTTTAGGCTTTAATTGCTGGGGATTTAAAAATGTTGACTTTTTCTTTGTCTGATTTTGTTTTAGTCTTAGTCCAATCTTCCTTTCCTTTTTTTCATCTCTTTGTATCTGATTTAACATTGAATGCATTCTTTCGAAATTACATTTTCTTCTCACTCCTTACATTGTTACTTTCCGAATTCCTCCAATCTGATAGGAAAGGAGATATCCAGTTACTTGTACTGTACACAAAAGTCCTTCCCTTGCTGCACCATAAACAGCTCATATTTGCAGCAATTTGTCACCAAAAACATTGAAACCTAACTAATGGTAGATGCCTTGTTCCCTGCCACAAATTATGACTCAATGTTTTTTGTTTGTTCTTTATTAAACCAATCATTTTAATAAATTCTAGCAGCACACAAAGCCTTCTTCTGAACCAGGCCAGACTGCCCAAACCGAAGTTGCCTAAAATAAATCAGAATTTTATCTATCATTCAGTTTTTAACCAATATAATTATTCAATAATCTGACAAGCATTTGGCAAAGACAAGATTTTTTGAATGAAGTAATTTACAGATTAATACAGAAATTTGAACTTAAGTAATTTTTTTGTATTGCTCCCATCAAAATCTCTGCATATATTTTATAAAAATATATTTGCTGAATTATATACTTGTCTGAATGCTGTCCAAAGTTTTAATATTGGTGTAAAGCAAAAGTATCATGGTTTGATGTTCATTGTATCCGCTTATGCTTACTTTGAGTGTTATAAGTACAGTACATTGTTATTTCCACTTCGAGTAATCCAATTAAAGCACAGTACTGCATTCAAGTTATGGTGGTGTGTTCTTTAACTAGCATTGTTTGTTATTGAAAGTAAATATAAAAACATTGACTAAAAATATGTAAATATGTAAATGATGCACTCCTACATTTATGTAAAAGTTGCCCAGCAAATGCAGTAGATTACTGCAAACATCAACAATCTCCAGAACTTACTGTTTTTTGCACAGCACCAGTTTATTTCACACAAACAGCACTCTTAGTCTCTCCTTCAATTTTTATGAATTTGCTGGATTTGTACACTAATTGTACACCTCTGTAGTAGGTGGGACCTGAAACCAGGATGCCTGGCTCAGAGATAGAGACACTATAACTTTGCTACAAGCCCCTACGGCATCAGTCTATCCATACGTCCTAAAATCCAGCACATGCCCACCACTGAGGGAACATTGCCCATGCCTGATGTGCTGTTATTGCCTTCTTGGCCTTTTGAGCTGTGGACTGGCCTGGTGAGTGGGACTTTCACTGCCAGGATTCATGACAACCTCTCAGCCTTTGGATTTCTGGCCTTGTAAGGAGAAGCTGGAGTTTTATTGATAAATCTATAAAAAAAGTCACAACACAGAATAGGTCATACAACCCATTGTGTCTTCGTTGGCCAAAAAGCACCTACTCTAATCCCACCCTCCAGGGCCTAACCCATAATGTTTGATGATATTTGCAAAAACTCATTTAATACTCAGGAATAAATCAAAAAATACCAACTGCACTTGAGCTGAGGAGCTCTTTTTTGAACTTCTTTATGAATCTTTCATTAGCCACATGCATCCCAAGACTATCCCATTCAACCTTATAGCTTCAAACTGGAAATAGAGAAAAACCTCACTACAGTGTTAATCATTAACTTAGTCAATTATTTTTATAAACCCACACAGAGTTTGAATTATCTCCACAGACACTAAGTTGCTTTATATTAATATTTACAAAAACGTGCTCAGCTTAGGAAGCAATTCCATTAACTGAGGCCAGAAAATCCTGCTTCTTTAACATGGCTCTCTTAGTGTAGGCACAATATTTCGAGGTAATATCCTTGCCATGTTGTACAGAATGGGGTAAACCTTGAATTTGTTCAATAGTCTAACTGATAATGTCATGAGAGATGTAAATTTGTCTTGTAACTCACTATCTATTGTTTCATGGCAGCTCACAAAATTAAGATATATCCCAGGGTGTGTGAATGTTTCATTCTACAATCAACATTCAAATTCTTTGTAAATGGGTATTAGTGGAAAAGCCTGTGATATTCTGGATTTCTCATGTCTCACAATGCAATTCTGAACTTTCAAATAGGTCTTGAAAGCGAGCCAGATTCTCCCCTGTCAGATCCATTCATTTCTTTTCAATGCTAACAGTATTGTTCTGTCCCTTGGGTTGATGTCCTAACATTAATGATGCTTTTTGCAAACAAATATAATCACTATATCATTAAAACATGAGTGCTGCATGGGAATATACTGTAAATCTCATTATTACCATAG